GTGTAGCAGCTTTCTAGCATTTTGAAGGTCACCACGGATACAGAGGGCTGAGAAAATATCTACAGACCTCTCCTATCCTGGACGTAAACTGTTTCAACTTCTCCCCTCGGGACCCCGCTATAGGGCATTTGCGTGCCAAAACGACGAGACACAAAGGCAGATTTTTCTCCCACGCCCTCACTTTGCTAAACCTCCAATTCCCATGTCTGTTACGCCTAAGGATATTTAGCCGTGTAGCAGGACTGTATTACTACTGCATTATCATCTTTCCTATTACTTACTCCTATTCGTATCTTACGACTATCACCTTGTTGGTTGTATCTTATAATTTATCACTTTGTTGCTTGTACAGTAGTGGCCAACATTGTGGAAACCTTTTGGGAAAAGTGTATTCTTGAGGTTTGATGGCTAATAACACCACTTTTTTGGGGGGGGGAGTAGTACCATAAAATTATGTATCAATGAGTCTTTCCCAAGGACCTAGGATAGGCAGATGTTGTTAAAGATATCATCCCAAGTAAAGCTGCCTTTTGCAACTGACTCATTATCAGTATGGTTAGTCACACAGTCAGCCAGATGCTTATTCTGGATTTGACATATTTATCCAACTATTAAGCCCTTCCCTGGGTTAAGCAGATGTTGATGCTTAATAATATTAATGGTATTTATTGTTACAGCATCTAAGCTGTTCCAAGTTTTGCAGTTGACTTCTGCAATTGTCTGAGATGGTACAGGTTCTCCTGCTTGAGCAGGGGGCTGGACTAGAAGACCTCCAAGGTCCCTTCCAGCTCTATTCTATTCTAAATTGACTTTTTACAGTTAATATCATTATGGTTCATTGCAGTCAGCCAGATGTTTAGTCTTTCCTAAGGACCTGGGATAAGCACAAGTTGTTAAAAGGTATTGTCACAGAATGTAAGCTGTTCCTGTAAAGCTGCCTTTTGCAATTGATTGTTGGTAAGTTTGTCAATGACATCATTAAGATGGTTGGTCACACAGTTAGTCAAATGTTTAGGTTGGGTTTGGCCTTTTTCTCCACCTAAGAAATCTTTTCCAAGAACCAGTGATAGGCAGGTATTGTTATTTGATAGTGTTAAAATGATCATCACAGGTTGTAAGCAGTTCCAAGTAAAGCTGCCTTTCACCATTGACTAATGGTGAATTTGTCAGTGACAATATTACCATTATGGTTCATCACAGACAGCAAGACATTTAGACTGGATTTAGCTTTTTTGTGCACCTTTCCAGTCCTTCCCAAGAAACTGGGATAGGCAGATAGAATGGAATGGAAAAGAACAGAAACTTTATTGCCACTTTCAATGTACGCTAATTGGCACACATTAAAATGAAATTTCATTGCATTCGGCTCTCAAAAAATACCATTATGCATATACCCACATACATACACGACAGGACATCACAGTCTAGTTCTAATGTATACATATAAATGGCGGGCGGGCGGGGGGGGGAAGAATCCTGCAAATTTACAAGATGGATGGCATAAGGAACAAAGCTGTTACAGAATCTAATAGTTCTGCTATAAATACTTTGAAACCTCCTCCCAGAGCAAGAGAAACAGATCGTGTATGGGGTCTTTAACAATGCTATGAACCCTAAGCACATAGAGCTTATAAGAAGCATCCTGAATAATGGGAAGCGGGCTTCCTATAATCTTCTCGGCTGTCCTTACCACTCTCTGTATGGACCTTCTATCTGAGGCTCTGCTACCACCAAACCAAACAGTGATGCAGTTTGTTAAAACGCTCTCCATCGTGCCAAAAGTGGCCAGGACCGAAGGAGAAAGATATGCTCTTTCTTTGCATCATTCGATGCAAGAAATGCAAACGCTGGTTTGCACATTTCACTAAAGATAATGTATGAAGAGACCAAAGTCAGTTAGCTATCTGCATCCCCAGATACTTAATACTGTTGACCATCTCGACAACTGCAGCCTTGATACAAAGTGGAGTATGACTATGCCGGCTCTTTCTAAAATCAACAATGATCTCCTTTGTTTTATTAACATTCAAAACCCGTCCACCAAAGCCATCACCTCTACCCTATAAGATGTTGTTATTTGATGCCGTTATCACAGGTTATAAGCTGTTCCAAGTAAAGCTGACTTTATTGCAACTGACTAATGGCAAATTTGTCAATGACAATATTATCTTTATAGTTCATCACACCAGTCGGCCAGATTTTTAGACTGGACTGACCAATTCTGTCCACTTATCAAGTCCTTCCCAAGATATGAACATTTGATGGTGTTAAAAGGATGTAAACTGTTCTAAGTAAAGCTGCTTTTTGCAATTGACGGATGGGGATTCTGTCAATACCAATTTTATTATTGTGGTCGATTACGCAGTCAGCCAGATGTTCAGACTGGATTTGGCATTTTTATCCACTAATAGACCTTCCCAAGGATCTGGGACAGGCAGATGTTGTTCTTTGATGGGAATAAACGTATCCTTGTGGAATGTAAGCTGTTCCAAGTCAATTTGCCTCTTTGCAATAGACCAGGGGTGGCAAACCTATGGCACGCATGCCAGAACCCTCTCTGTGGGCACGCGGGCCGTCGCCCCAGCCCTGCCTCCCCACACAGCACCCTCACTAGCAGCCCCCTTGGAGGAGAGTGACCCCCGGGCGCGGCCCACGAAGAGCAGCCCAGCCAAGGACATGACAGTTGGGCAGCAGGGACAAGACTCCGCCCTGGCACCCCTTCGTGCACACATGATGCTGCGGGGCATGGGCAGAGGGCATGGCCACCATGGCCATGCAAGGCCGCCAGGGTGATCAGCGGCAGGCTGTAGAGGCAGTAGGTGGCCCTATGGGGGGGCGGGGGGCAGAGCGGGTTGGGACGGTGGTGGAGCTGGCGGCGGCATGGTTTTTGGGCACTCAGTGTCTAAAAGGTTCGCCATCACTGCAAAAGGCTGACAGTGATTTAATCCATGCTGAATTATCTCCAGTATTATAGCTTCACATCATTTATATATCATTTATACACACATACATATACACACATATATATACATGCATATATACATATACACATATATAGGTCTTTGGATATTCGGGTTTTCTCCTGCATAAAATTGGAAGTGTCTTGGTGAAGTTTTGACGAAGTCACATTCGTCATCTTCAGGCTGGTGTCTTCAGCCTGAAGATGACGAATGTGACTTCGTCGAAACGTCGCCAAGACACTTCCAATTTTACGCGGGAGAAAACCCGAATATCCAAAGACCTACATACAAACACCCGCGAAAACCTCAGAAAACAAATACACATATATACATATACACACACATATATATATTTATATACACACATATTTAGTTTTATATATTTTTAAAAATGCTGTAATACTATAATATATACACACACACAAGTACAAAACACTCTTTTTCTCTCTCTCACACACACACATATACATACATATACACACATACATGTATACATACGTATATACATATACACACACATATATACACACATATTTAGATTTATATATTTTTAAAAATGCTGCAAAACTATATATATACACAGCACAAGAGACACTCTCACACATATATACATACACACACACA